TTAACCAGAATAATCAACGAAAATAAAACACGTATGACAAACACATTAGCACAAAATATACTCCTACTTAGGACATCATTCTTTCTAGAAAAGAAAGTCTCATTTGAAATCAACCTTACCAGATTGTTTCACAATTTCCTTTTATAATTTTGTAGGTAATCATCCAACCTCAAAATATATCCTTTAAACATAGCTTAAAAGTAACATATGTTTGTCTAAGCAAATACTAAGGGCTTAACCCTCATCCTCCCTATACGCAGAATGTAAACTATCTAACTTGGCTTTATAAAGCGAATTAGAACGTTACAACATAATACCAATACCTTCCTGAATGTGATACAAAATCATACGTTTTGTTCTGATAAGAACTCCATCAAATCCCTAATCTTCTGAAGAGTACTTCTTATATATCTCTTTTAGAGATGATAAAATAGTTTAATTATATATAGATTAATCAATACCAATTCTACAAATAACATTCACTATACAACCAGCAAATAAGATCACCCTCGCGCGATCATCCATCTTCCATATGTAGTACCCTTTCTTTTGGATACGCTGAAATCTCCTCCATTAGGATCCTCTTTGGACTCCTAATCCCCGCTTATCTCCATTTTGAGATCAACTGAAGTCGTGTTGGCCCCGATATGCGGTGACTTATCATGCACATCTAAATCATTCCTTGGCTTATACTTTAAAGTAGCTCCAAACGAACCTAAACATTCGATCCCTAATTCTGCTTTTGGGCAATGAAATCAATAATGTACTCATTTACTCCTTTGGGTCTTTATCGCTGTTGCCTTAGACCCTATCCTTTTCCTAGTGCCAACCATTCTGTAACTACAGAATATAATTGACATCAGCTCTTTCTAACGAACCGTAAATAGAGTACAATGAATCCTAATACAGGCTCTAAGTTTTAAGAGACGCAACGCGGAAGTCACATAACGAAAGACACACCTAAGGACACTTGAACCTAGAGTGCTCTGATACCAACTATAATACCCCCGAATTTCCGAATACGGGTTGGCCAGGCCCACGCCCGAATACCCGAGGATATCAAAACAAATTGATAATAAATGAACACAGAGTACAAAAGAATAAAGAAGAATAAATAAAATGCTGACAAGAAACTAAAATGATAATCTAATAATAAACCTCATAATATATTTCCATTAATTAATAAACTCTTCTGATACAACTGATCCTCCAAAATACAACTCGGGAATCCATACTGTGTGGACCCCTAGAAAATCCAAACTAAACAAATGACAGTAATCTAAAACAAGAAACTGAATCATAAAGGAACTCCTATGTAGCATCGGAAGAATGAAGTAGACTGATACCCGCTCAGCCCGAATAACCTCTACTCGTGACGAACACCTGAAAAATAATGGTGGGTCAGGCCCACAAACAAGTTCTACTCTACTACAGTCCAAGCAGAGTTCCGATACACGTATACATCATAGTCAATCCAACAGTAACTAGTAGTCCGTATATATATATATACACACTAAAGGAACCTCACTAGACTATAGGGTTGTCTCAACCTGAATAGTAGGCAACATGCAAAACGCACATATAGTGGGCATGAGTACCTAGATCTACCAGGGTACACAACTACACTATATCTAGCTACACATCCCTGGCGATATATGCGCCCTAACCATTGATCCTGAGACTCAAACTCATATCATGGCACCATACTTATATATATAAAATCTAGTAACCATCCTATCTAGTATAAATTAATCCTTCATAAGTCATTCAACTTGTTCAGCTGACCTGACTTGAATATAAGTAGGACTTAACATTTTAGTTAATCCATTCCCTTATATAATAAATTAATCCTCCATAAGTCATTCAACTTGTTCAGCTGACCTGACTTAAATATAAGTAGGACTTAACATTTTAGTTAATCCATTCCCTTATATAAAATAGGTAGGACTTAACTGATAAGTTAATCCATCCCTAGAATGTCACCGTCCCATACCGGTGCATTAAACCACACAATCTAACAATTGATGTAACAATTAAGGAAATACATCAAACATTCCATAAATAACTATGATAAATATGATATCAAGTTATCACATAATAGGAATGACTTATTATTTCTTTAAACTTCCTATATCATATGTCCTACACAAACTGAATCTTATACATGATGATATTTTATTATACCGTTAAATAAGGATTCTCTATATCCAATTCATCCTACACATTTAATCTCAATTGCTAAAATATTTTAAAAGATTAAATCCATTCGTTTGTTTAAAACATTCAAATAGCAAGCACCATTATGATTGAGTCTATTTAAATTTATTAAAACCCAAACCTAGTCCCTATTTAATGTTCAGGAATCCTAGGCATGTTTCTACGTTCCATCATTCCACAGATATGAAAAATACATAATTTAAACATGTAAAAATTCACATAAGAAATCAAATCAAAATCATGCATTTTATCAATTCATAACACAAGAACAGATATGAACCAATTTCATAAAACCTATGTTCTAACCCAATTAAACATGCATAATTATTTAATTTTATGTGTTTAATAAATTCTGGAATTTCCTAGGCATGTACAGAAACACGAATCAAAGGGAAAGAGATAGAAGAAGAACTTGCCTTAAACTTTCGGATTGAAAGTTAAACTTCTTCTTCCTTAATCTTCTCTCTAAAGGGTTTTCTCCTCCTTCTTTCCTCTTTCTCCTTCTCTCTCTAACTCTCTCTCTCTAGAATATATTACGTGATATATTTTCACTCCTTTTTCAACCTATAGTTATGTATTTATAGGCTAAATAATAACCCTATTCCTTTTCCCAATCCAAGTCAACTTAATAAAGAAAAATAAAAATGAAAATATTAAAAAGGTAACTTAAAATATGTTACGTAGTATATCCTTATTAATTAAATAAAATATATACATTAAATTATTTATTAATACTAAAGTTACCATAATATTAAAAGGTAACTTAAAACATGTTATGTATATAATCTATCTATATCCTCATTAAATAAATAAAATATATACATCAGATTATTTATTTATACTAAAATTACCATAATATTAAAAAGGTAACTTAAAACATCTTACGTATCCTTATTATATAAATATATAAAATATATATATTAGATTATTTATTAATACTAAAGTTACTATAATATAATAAATTACTTTCCTTTTTATATATATGTATATACATATATATCTATATATATACATATAAAACTATCCTTGGGTAATTATCCATACCCATCCAACCTCATATCCAAGTAGTCCATGGGACCCAATTAGTTAGCCCATTACCACTAACCATAACCATAAAATAAAATAAAATAAAACATTTAATCATTTAATTTACAATTAATTACAATTAATCAAATATATCATTTAAGCATACAATCTAATTAAACAAATAATACAAATAACACCTAGACAAAATACAAATAACACATAAATAAGTAGCCAATTAATCAAATAACACTTAATTCAATTAAACACATAAACAATTAGTCAAATAATCAATTAAACAATTAAAAAAAATACAATAAAAATAAATAAATAAATACTGAGACTATCCTTTTAAAATTAGGGGTATTACAAAAAATCCCTACAAAGTAGGAGAGATTTTTGGCAACACGTTCTCCTCTTCCTTGCCTAGTCAATTTTGGTCTTATCATAATGGAAAACCTCCAATTACTTAGGGATACACAATTTTTACCCATAAACCTTCCACAACAACAATTCTTTAAAAGAATTGATATACTATGGTAAGTTCCACAGAACTCGCCATGTGTTGAGAGCTAATTGGTTGAATTTGTCTTGAATAATTGCATAAGGTTGCATGTATGGTAGTTTTTCCATGAAATAATCCCTTTTTTCCAAATAAGAATAGGACTCACCTCTTTCCTTTTAAAATAGAAAACCCCACATAGTAGGATTATATTAACCCACTTGTCTAATTACTATGTACTATTACATAACTTCTAATAATAATTCATAAGAGTTGTGATCCAGCATGGGAAGTTCCATTAGAACTTGCCACATGTCGCCTTTCTATTGGGCCAAAAATAATGGAGTAAACAACTTGTAATTATTTTTAGTTTGTTCCGAGAAAATCGGTTAATTTATTTGAGCATGCAGCAGTCACTCACATGCGGAAAGTCTTTCTTAATGTACGTAGTCGGTGGATCCTCACACTTGGAGTTGGTTATCAAACGTGTGTCTACAGTGTCTTCTTCTTCTTCTTCTTCTTCTTCTTTTTTTCTGAAAGTTAGAATTTTCAATTTATAAATATATATCAACAGTTTTACAAGCCCAACAACAACGACAACATAGGCCAAACTAACAACAACCACAAGAAGCCTAAGTGTACACTAAGCCCAATAATCCAAGTACACCTAGGCCGAATACAGCATTCAAATGCTCAATATATGACAATAATCCAAGTACACCTAGGCCAAATACAGCATTCAAATGCTCAATATATGACCGTTATAGTAATCCTTTCAATCCGGTGAACGTGGTGGGGCTCATTCCCGGTGGTCTTTTTTTAATCGGAAAAAACATGCACAGTCTTTCTTAATATGTTACAAAGTCAAAAATTCTTAACGTGTAAATTTTCAAAGTCAATGCCTCTTTCTCTTTTGAACGCAATAAGAAGAGACCAGCAGATGAAGATCCAAAGTCCATAGTGTCATCAAAATTCAACAACAATCACCAGCAATTAGATCCTCTCAATATATATTTGTTGGCTCTTAGCTGTTTTGGTGTGCTTTGTTTTCTTGTGTTGTGTTTGTCTTTGCCAGGCTAAGATCGGTAAGTTTATGCATATGAATTTCTTTACAGATCTTTGTAATATAAATAGATACATATATGATTTTGTATTTATTTATGAAAATGATCTCTGAGCCAAACTCAAGCTTGTTGTGAAATGTGAACTATATATAGCAGTGTGTGTTTGTGTGAGAGAGAAATGGAGCACAGACTTTATGGAGCAGCAGTGGAAGGGAGTATACCATCATTGCGTGAGTTACTTGGAGAAGATCCAGGAGTTCTTGATATATAAAGTTATCAAGAATTGTTTCAATGAAACTGTCTTGCATGTGGCAGTACTGCAAGGGCATGAAAATTTTGTTAAAGAAATTCTACAACGAAAACCTGAGCTTGCTGGGGAGTTAGATTCACAACAATCATCTCCTCTTCACTTGGCATCGGCTAATGGGAACGTGGAGATAGTGGAATTATTATTGTTGGTGAAGCCCGATATGTGTGGTGTCCTTGATGGAGATGGCAGAAACCCTCTTCATCTTGCTGCCATTAATGGCCGAGTTGATGTCCTAGACAAGCTGATTCAAGCAAGTCCCAGTGCAGCTCGAGCACCATTGGACCATGGTCAGACCAATATAATGCATCTTTGTGTGCAGCACAATCAATTAGAGGCGCTGAAGCTATTGGTGGAGGAGATGAATGATGAAGAGTTTGTTAATTCTAAGGATGAGCATGAGGCGACAATATTACAGGTAGCAGTAGCGGATAAACAGATTGAGGTATTAACTACATCTTATTACAGGGGTAGCTGTTTCCTAAGGCTTTCTTATACCAAAATTATGTGAGAATTAAAATTTGGGTTTTTATTACATATATGTAATAGAAACCATATTGCTTATAGGTGTCGCAACGACCTCGATGCGTGGTCAGGCCACCTGCTTATCTGTGTTGTCCGTTTTGTCACGAAAATCTCCTAGGGCTTTTCTTCATTTCTCTCTCTTGGACAATCTGAGTTCTGGATCGCTAAATCTTTTTGACCACGCACCCTGCCTACCTAGGTTGGCAACCGGGATACCTCGAGTCTAGCACTTAGCGAGATGCCGGATTAGGTCCGCCTCTTAGCCAAAAACATAAATTATTATTCACATTTACAAAGTTCTACCACTTTCTCTATATCTTTCTCTCTGTGTTTAGCTGAACTTGAATTTGTTAATGTCTCAAATTAAGTTGCATCCATGACTTAATCTTTTTATGGTTGTGTGTACTTAATTCAGAAGTGCTATGTGGAAATTTGTTGAAGTCAAATTAGGGTTAGGGTTTTGTATCTTATGTGTTGTTTTTGTATTGCTTAAATTTGGGGAGAGAAGTACTTTTGTAGTACAAATGTAATTAGTTTATAATTCAGGGGTTCTTTGGGAACAATAGAGATGGGCTATTTTTACTCCTCCTCGTTGAACCAAAACGTTTTGCTGCTAGTCAAATTGATTCCAATTTCATTCACAAACTTGGCAACGGATTTGTGCAGATCAAAAAGTATTTGCTATCGAGCTCCGGAATAAAGATAAATGAGGTAAATGTCAATGAATTGACAGCATTGGACATTTTAGCAGAGTCGGAGAGATGTGAAGGATTTGGACATTGGGGACTCAGTTCAACAAGCTGGAGCATTAAGAGCCAAAGATATGGCTAAGTCTCCTGTAACGACTCAAAACTAATACTTTTTAAACAAAAAAAAATTCGGCATGACCTCCCCTAAAAATAGGCCTATCACAACCTGTTTAATTGCATTTTTAACCTGTCATGGCTTAAATTCCGAATTCACGGCAACAAAAGATAATGATACAACCAACTAATCTAGACAATGCTTCAAACTAGGATTATCCATCCATTCATCAACAAGTTGCATACTATCAAATCCCCATCCAAAACATCATCAATACTTTAGTTATATTACATGACAAAGTTCCACAAAATAATTATATATCTTTGCACTTCTAGTGTTTTACAAAATAATGGGGAATATACAAAGATACAAAAGTGGACTTCTAACGCCGTTCAAGCTTGAGGTGGGTTGTCATTCACCAGTTCCTTTCCAAGACTTGAAAAAAATATATATAGATATAGGGGTGAGCATATAGCTCAGCAGGTGACACTTAAGACACAATTCTTGTGTCCTAGTGAATCCAAATAAAACATAGGCCAATGGGAGATTGGGGACATGCATTGAAGGAGAAAAATAATTACAAGTACAAGTCAAATTCAATCACACACAAATGCAAATGGAGTGAGATGCAATGCATGCTAAAGTCACTCCCCGTTTTCATTCTCAAAACCATCACGTTCAAAGTTAATGTAACCCCCTTTGGTAACCCTGCCGCGACGAGAAGAGGATTGGCTACCGTCCCTAGGCCCTTGGTGACCCCATGGCGCCGTCGAGGGGCCCGAATAGCTCAACCACGCTAGGGTACTCTCCCTAGTCCTCCCTAGGCTACATTAACCTCCGGCCCGTTGGTAACCCCGCAGCGACCGGGTTTGTCAAAACCAATTTTTTTTTTTTCCAAAATATTCATTCCCAAATCCCCATTTTCATTTCAAGACAACCACTTCCCTTTTTCATGCAACCCAATGAGATGTAGGCTCATGTCATGCTCTCAATATAATGACAAATGGGAACTTAGCACAATAATAAATAAGCATGTTCTCATGGCATCATTATAGCATGTTAGTAACCTCAAAAAAAAAAATGTAAACAACCATTACATTGACATACTTTTCATTCAACCATGTTATACACATTTACATAACTAGCATGTTGTCAATTAAATCATTTTAATCAAAATCAACAACAATTAAACATGCTATAACACACATAGAGGAGCATGATTCATTATAGAGCAAGATTCCATGGCTTAAGATGTCCCTACCCACAATCCAAGCCGAAATCCCCAGAATAGGTCCTCCAAATTCGAGCTCAAAGGAAGACTCAAATCTGGAAATTGATAGTGTGGATGCGTAGAGCTCGCTACAAGATTCGTTTAGCCTCAAACGGTTCCTAAATCCGATGAAAGATGATTGAGTAATCAAACCTCAAAGTTTTTGTCTCCAAAACGAAAGAAAAAGAGAAGGAACCGAGAAGGAGAGAGAGCATACGGGAAAGAGAAAGAAAAGAAGATTTCTTGGCCAAATAAGTTAGTGGTGGGCCCCACTTGAAATTATTTTCCTTTTCTCTTTATTTTTTTGTCTCTAATTGCACCACAAATACACAATTGCACCATACAAATGCTATATCACCACATAAATTAAAATGTAGGAAATGTAACTGGACCCAACCACAAACCCGGATGGTAAAGTGAAAAGACGAAAATGCCCTTGCATTAACGAATTTTCAGAAAATTCTAAAATGCTGAAAATTAGAATTATCACAATCTCCCCAACTTATAAGGACGAAATCAAGACATACCTGAAGAAGAAAACAGCGCTGGGTACTTGGACCGAACCTCCTGTTCGAGCTCCCAAGTAGCCTCCTCGACACCGTGGTGTCTCCAAAGGACTTTCACCATTGGTATCGTCTTGTTCCTCAACACCTTCTGCTGAGTGTCAAGGATCTGAACTAGTCCTTCCTCGTAGGAAACATCCTCATCAATATCCACATCAACCCAACTCAAAATGTGAGATGGGTCCGGCTCGTACTTTCGTAACATCGATACATGAAAGACATTGTGAACTCTGTCCATCTGTGGTGGTAAAGCAAGTCTGTAGGCAACCTCTCCTACCCGATCCAAAATCTCGAATGGTCCAATAAATCGTGGCGATAACTTGCCACTCTTCCCAAATCTCATCAACCCCTTCCGTGGAGAAACCCGTAGAAAAACGTGGTCTCCCACCTCAAAGGATAACGGTCATATCCGCTTATCCGCATGGCTCTTCTGTTGGCTCTGAGCTGTAAGTAACCTCTGTCTTATCAACTTAATCTTCTCAGTAGTCTCGAGTACAATGTCGGGTCCTAAGGCGGCTGTCTCGCCTACCTCAGTCCAACAAACAGGAGACCTACAAAGTCTACCATACAACGCCTTAAATGGAGCCATCTGGATGCTCGCCTGATAACTGTTGTTGTAGGCAAACTCAATAAGTGGAAGGTGATCCTCCCAACTACCTCCCAAATCAAGTACACATGCCCGAAGCATTTCCTCCAAAATCTGGATAGCACGCTCTGACTAACCGTCTGTCTGTGGATGGAATGCCGTACTAAGATGTAACGCTGAACCAAACGCTACTTGAAGTCCTTCCCAGAACTTCGAAGTGAACTTAGCATCCCTATCTAACACAATGGTTACAGGGACTCCATGTAACCTTACAATCTCTTTCACATAAAATACACCAAGCTTATCTGCATCGTCTGTTGCCTTAATAGGCAAAAAGTGAGCTGTCTTAGTCAATCTGTCAATGATGACCCATACGGACTCATTGCCCCTTCGTGACCTTGGAAAACCTGTCACAAAATCCATAGCGATATGCTCCCATTTCCATTGCGCTACAGGTAATGGTTGCAATAAACCTGCTGGCCTCTGACGCTCGGCCTTCACCTGCTGACAGGTAAGGCATCTAACCACAAACTGTGCAACATCATTCTTCATCCCGCTCCACCAATACTGACGTCTCAAATTGTGATACATTTTAGTACCACCTAGATGAACTACAAAACGGGAAGTGTGAAAGTCCCGTAGGACATCCTCACGACATACTATGGGAACCACCAACAAACCCCTGAACCGTAGACCCCCATCTGCATGCAAGGCCCAATCTTTCACTGTCTCACCACTAGAGATCAAAGCGTGGATGGCATCTAAGTCCGGGTCCTGTCTCTGTGACTCAATCACTCGTACAACAAGAGTAGGCTGAGCCACAAGACTAAATAAGAATGCCGACTCACTGTAACCATCATCATCAAAACACTGTAATCCCATCTCTGCCAGATCTTCAAGCATCTTCCACTTCCGAATAGCTAAACTGGCCAAAGTTCCATGAGATTTTCGGCTTAAGGCATCAGCTACAACATTTGCCTTGCCCGGATGATACTGCAAATCAAAGTTGTAATCTTCCAAGTACTCAACCCATCGTCCCTGTCTGTTGTTCAAGTCCTTTTGGGAAAAAAGGTACTTGAGACTTTTGTGATCTGAAAATACCTCGAATCTCTCACCATACAAGTAATGTCTCCAACACTTCAAGGCAAATACAACTGCCGCTAACTCCAGGTCATGAGTAGGGTAGTTGTACTCATGAGTCTTCAACTGTCGAGACCCATAAGCCACTACTCTACCATCCTGCATCAACACACATCCCAACCCGTCACGTGAAGCATCACAATAGATCACATAACCCAAGCCACGCTCAGGTATCACCAACACTGGCGCTGTAGTCAATCTCGTCTTCAACTCCTGAAAAGATGAATCACAGGCCTCATTCCAGACAAACTTGACCCCTTTCCGGGTCAAACGGGTCATAGGAGCTGCCAAACGGGAGAAATCCTTCACAAATCTCCAATAGTAACCCGCTAAACCAAGAAAACTGCGGATCTCAAACACATTCTTGGGTCGCTCCCAAGTCAAAACTGCTTCAACCTTTGATGGATCAACTGATACTCCACCTTCTGAAACAACATGCCCCAAAAACTTCACTTCCTGTAGCCAAAACTCACATTTCTCGTATTTGGCATACAATCGGTGCTCCCGCAAAATCTGTAAAACAATACTCAAATGGACCTCGTGATCTTCCCGAGTCCGTGAGTACACAAGAATGTCATCCACGAAAACTACCACAAACTGGTCCAAGTAATCGTGAAAGACGCGGTTCATCAAGTCCATGAATGCCGCTGGCGCATTAGTCAAGCCAAAAGGCATAACAAGGAACTCATAGTGTCCATACCGTGTACGGAATGCTGTCTTCGGGATATCCTCATCCCTAACCCGCAACTGATAATAGCCAAACCTCAAGTCAATCTTCGAGAAACAACTGGCTCCCCTCAACTGATCAAATAAATCATCTATCCTTGGCAAAGGATACTTATTCTTGATGGTGGCATGATTCAACTTCCGGTAATCAATGCATGATAAGTGCTTAAATGTTGCACATTTCAGCACCTAAGTTAGGGTATTTCAGTCTTTCCATCTATCTTAAGTTTATGTTTTAGTCCTAATTTATGTTTATGTGTATTTCAGGGTAATAAAGTTAAAATGAGCTAAGAACGGTCCAATTAAGCCTTTTTGGAGTTAAGCAAAGATTTTCAGAAAATGGCACAAAGCGGTCAATCTCGGGCCTTTGATGATGTTCCCAAAGATAGAGAAGCAAACCAAATAGCCCGGGACAAAAATGGAGCTGAATAAGGCTTAAAGGAATTTTCCAACTCTGGGGGATCGATCCCCCAGGGTGGGGGATCAATCCCCCAGGACTTGGCAACATTGCATATTTTTATTTTAATGTTTGAGCTTATTTTGTAACCTAGTGGGCTTTAATAGGTTTATTACTTAAGCCCAGTGAGGCCCATTGTTTTTAGGGTTAGTATTTATTAGTTTAGTGATTTATTATTTGGAGAATTAAGTTTTGATTATTATTTTTTAATCTGTATCGTGATATCGTTCTCTCTGGAAGAAAACGAAAGGAAGAAAAAAAGCGAGGGTTTCAAGAATATTTTTT